ATAAATTGATTTGATACAGTCGATTGTGTGTGTCCCCACTAAGCGCATTATGTCGGCGGAGTGCATCCACAGTACCGAGGCTAGCGTCGACTTTCGGAGCGTTGCACTGTGGTAGCTATCCCACAATTCCTGCAGTCTCTGCCGCACATTGGAATTGTGGGTTGAGCTCCCAATGCCTGATGGGGCAAATACATTGTCGTGGGTGGTTCTGGGTACATGTCCTCAGGCCCCCCTCTCTCAGTGAGAGCAACGGCTGAGAATAGTTTCGCGCCTTTTTTCCGCAGACGCCATACCACGGCAAGCATGGAGCCCGCTCAGATCGCGGCTGTTATGAGCACACGTGCATTATCCTGCAGTATATGCAGCACCAGAACCTGCAAAAGCAGGCGAGGAGGCAACGGCAGCGCAGTGACGAGACTGATGAGGACATGGACACAGACTTCTCTCAAAGCACGGGCCTTGGCAATTTGGACATCATGGTGGTAATGGGGCAAGGTTCATGCCATGGAACGCTGATTCTGGGCCCAGGAAACAAGCACAGACTGGTGGGACTGCATAGTGTTGCAGGTCTGGGATGATTCCCAGTGGCTGCGAAACTTTCGCATGCGTAACAGCACTTTCATGGAACTTTGTGACTTGCTTTCACCTGCCCTGAAGTGCAAGAATACCAAGATGAGAGCAGCCCTCACAGTTCACAAGCAAGTGATGATAGCCCTCTGGAAGCTTGCAACGCCAGACAGCTACCGGTCAGTCGGGAATCAATTTGGAGTGGGCAAATCTACTGTGGGGGCTACTGTGATCCAAGTAGCCAACACAATCAAAGACCTGCTGATATCAAGGGTAGTGACTCTGGGAAACGTGCAGGTCATAGTGGATGGCTTTACTGCAATGGGATTCCCTAACTGTGGTGGGATGATAGACGGAACCCATTTCCCTATCTTGTCACCGGAGCACCAAGCCACCGAGTACATAAACCACAAGGGGTACTTTTCAATGGTGCTGCAAGCCCTGGTAGATCACAAGGGACGTTTCACTAACATCAACGTGGGATGGCCGGGAAAGGTACATGATGCTCGCATCTTCAGCTGCCCCAGGGCCCGGCAATTTAAAAGGGACTAGGGCTTTGTGACGGAGCAGGGAGTGGGGCAGATTTGACCTGGGAATGTTGCAGGGGGGTTGCATTGGGGATGGGGGACTTCCCTTGAAGGAAGCTACCTGAGCTGTAACCTGAGCCAGGAGGGGGGTTGGGAGAAATAACAACTTCTGCCCGGGAGACTGAACAAAAGAGAGGAGGAGCAGAGGGGAGAGGGGAGAAAGCTGCTGGAGGAGTTTTGGTTTGGTTTCAGTTTGGGCTGGGTGGTGCAACGCAGGGAACCCCAAGCTGGGGTCTAAGCTCCCTAAACCCCCCAGAAGGACTTGTTTGAGGGGTTCTGGTTGTACCTACACGCTCTGCTTGGGACTGTGTTCCTGTCATCTAATAAACCTTCTGTTTTACTGGCTGGCTGAGAGTTACAGTGAATCCCAGGAAGAGGGGTGCAGGGCCTTGATTCCTCCACACTCTGTGACAGGCTCAGAGCCCCGGGCCCTTTAAATCGCCACCAGAACCCCGGGCGGTGTGGGCTGGGCAACGCTGAAGGGGGCTGGGGGAGTCTGGCCCCAGCCCCACCCTTTCTGCCTGAGGGCCCGCCCCTTCGGGGGGGACCCAGAGCTACCCCCCCCATCTTGCCCAGGATCCCAGCTGCCCTGCATACTGGTAAGTCCTTTAAATTACTTTCATCCCTAGTATGAAGTTATGAGTTTTTGTCACTAAAATATGTTGTAAGTTTGATAGTCTCTACTGCTAGTTCACCAGGGACAACAAAGGAGGTAATCCACTCCCAGGACCCAGGAAGGTATTAAGCAACTATTAATCAGCAGGGGAGTTGTAAACAAGGGATTTACAATGCTGTAAGAGGGATGTACAAGCAACACACAATGGGGGATTGCTCAACTATGTGACACACCAAAGC